TTTTTGAGTGGGAGAACTTGCACTATTGGTGGCTGACTAAATACTTTTTTGCCCCACTGTAGCTTAAAATCAAGTCAGAGGAATACAAAGCAGGAGTCTTAATATACATATTCTTTTTTTATATTCTCTCAATAAAAACAAACAAAACGTAATTTCTTTATTGTATTTCTATTACTCCGTCGATGCTAGAAACCATAATACTCTAATGGAAATCAATGGTGTCAGTTTTCTCCAGGATGCGCTGCAGGAAACATTTAATTAGGAATTATGTATTTAAGCCTATTTAGTAATTTTTTAATACTTGGCTAAAACACATAGAGCTCATGGAAACATTATATAAGATTTACATTTTTTGCGGCTTCAGACAGATCTGTTTTCTGCTGTTTTTTTGCTCTTTGAACAGTTTGGGTGTCCGAGCCCTATTGTGGGGGTTTAATTTATGACTGAGGTGTGAATTGGTTTAGCTTAGCATTGGTTAGGTATTGTGGATGTTAGAATGGTAGAATCTCAAAAATCAAGATGCCTTCAATCGATTAGCTGATTGCCCCACAGGACAGGAGAAGAAGCGTGTATTTTACAGATCAAATTGACATGCTTTCCTCAGTACACGTATCACTGCACTTTTACATCTCACACAGACAATCTCAGCTCATTCCCAACTTCTCATTCCATCTCAGGTTGTCTTATAGTCTCAATATCGCAATGTGTGGATGCACATGCACAATGGAATATTGTGTCGACATCTTACTGGAATTCACGTGTGCTGGTCAGCGCCAAAGGTTGCTTCGACACTGAAGGAATGTTTATATAGACTTTCTCTGTTTACGTCAAACATCCTTATACACCATCTAATTGCGTACGAATCAGCCCTTAGAGACCTTGTTGTTACCAAGACTCATACCTGACCTTAAGCTTTGTTGCTAAGTATAAGGCCATGAAGGAGGCTATATAAGGCAATAAGCTGCTTCAGCATTCCTCCCTGTAGTTCATTGCAGATTAAATACTTTGTGATGTTAAATGGTGATGTGAATACTACGCAACTAAGTGCACTTACGTGTGTGAAGTTTAAATGAAAAACTAAATCTTAGTGTAACCAACACAGCCTGATATGAGTGTAAGTTGGGAAATATAAACCTTTAAATTAAAATTAAATGAGTGTAATGATTAATAACAAAACCAAAGTGAATATTAAACCAAATGATTATTACTGAACCCTCAAAGAAAGATCATCATTTTCCACCTGGCCAAGATTCAATTAGTATTGGATCGTTCCCCTTTTTTTTCTGTAGGTGTCTTACTCTTTCATGTCATACTCATTTAAGAGGAAACTATCCCATCGACCCATGCTTCCCCTGGACATCCAGCTGTAATGAGTTCAAAACCTTGGACCCAATACTCAAAAACAGACAGATCTTGATGGTTCAAAACTAGCCTTTATTGAACACTCAGTATGGCTGCTCATCAGCTGGGGCGGAAAAGACGGATCCTATGTGGGAACAGAAACTCAGGTCAGTGACTAATAAGGGCTAATAACAATTAAGAGAAAATAGTCACTGACCTGTTTCTGAGTGGAGCTGAAGCCAGCCGAGGCCGAGGGGCAACAGGGTCCTGAAGGGAATGTCCAAAGCCGAAGTCATAGCAGAACCAAGTTCACAGACCAGAAGATCTGAAAGCCGATGAGGTACAGAAGGGGGATCCAAGCCGATGTCAGAAAAACAGTCCAAGTTTGGTGAGCCAGCCGAATCCAGGAATCAGAACAAAGTAGATCAAAGAGCAGACTCAATCAGGTAATCAGAAAAACAAACAGAAAGCTAGAGTTACTCACAGAAAACAGCTTGAATATTCTGGTACTGGTAGCTGGAAAACACAGCATATATAGGAGCTGAAAACAGGTGGATCAGATAAGCAGTAATGAGAAACCAGGCAGAGTTTAACAGGTGAGTGGAATGAGCGAATCAGGCCAGCCACCAGTGCCAGGATCATGACACCAGCCTTCCCTCCTGCGTTGGCCGCAGCACAAATCGCATCTTGACCGTGCTACTCACGATGATCTGTAAGCCAACACTGCTTGAACCCTTCAATCCAATATTGATATTACATAATATGTGAAAGATAACTATTCAAAACATTTCAAATAACTTGAACTTAGTCGTAGTGTGTCATAGTATATAAGGCTAGGTAAATGACAGGAAAAAAAAAAGTAAGTCAGTCCTTCAGCAGTCTGAGTCCCCAGTCCTCTAAACGGCCACTCATGTATAGTTTACCATGTAAAATAATAAGACAGTAATACAGATTATAATACAGAATAATAAAGGCATAATACAGATAATAATGCAGGATAATGGCATGTTACATCCATGTTGTCATCCGGATTATATTTACTGAATACAAGAATGATTTATGCTGGTGTTTTCTTCTTTTCAGTTGAAAATACAA